TCGATGCAATCAGCTGGTTTTCCTTAGATAGAAAACTTTGAATCAATCTGACTGGATGATCTGGTGAACTGGAAAGTGCCTTAATATGACGTGTTGTGAATTGGAGCTATAGAAATAAACTGAATAGAACTGAAACTGAATTGACTCGACCATCCGATGCATTAAAGTTCTGCTGGATCTTTGTCTCTCAGGAGTTCCAGAATTCGGACTGTGACGAGTACCATGCAGATTTATCCACCTTGGCGTCGCCAGCCTCCCAGGGAACGCCTGACGTCTACATCCTGCCGCTCACCGAGGTTTCCCTGCCGACCACTAAGCAGCCGGCGCGATCCGGTGAGTCCCAGTTCAGTTTCCCAGCATGGCTCCCTGTCCTTCAGGACCAACAGCTTCCACTGGATGATCAACAGCAACAACATGAAGGACTTTCCTCAAAATCCTCATCTGAATGTTTTGGCTTAAAATGTATCAAATTGCATCGAAGATGATTTATTAGTTAAATAAGACGGATGAGTCGCTAAAGAAATGTTCAATCATGAGGCCATAAAAACGTCCTGATTTATATCTCCCATCTCGCCGTGATGCAAACCTTCCAGCAGTTTAGCAGAGGAGCCAGATCGTTACACATTTCGAGGGCGTGAGAGTCAGAGGGGCCTAAAGGGGAGCTGTGTTTCCCTGGGGTGAGCTCCACCCCAATGCTGCTCAGCTGGGCCTCCATCTATCCCATAATTCATCGCTGCAGGCAACAGCAGAGACGACTCTATAGCTTTCTCCCACAAACATCTGCCTGTTGCATAATGAGGTCCAGGCAGCCGGCCATCGCTGCCGTTAGCTGGAATGTGCGGCATGTGAGCGCAGAATCCCAGTGAGAATGGCCCTCTGTCCGACCTAAACCCCAAACTTAACCGGTCCGAGTCATGCAGGTGAAAAGAACCAGAACGAATAGATTCTTCTGGTTTCACGGCTGATTGGTGCTGATCTGCAGAGATCCTTCCAGTTAGAGCTGTTACTCCTCATGTTGAAGTTTCAGCAGAAAAGTGAAAAGCAAATCTTTCTGCACATGTTCTCCAGGATGAGAAAATATTTTCTCAAGCGAGCGGACTGTTGAACACATGTTTTGTCCTCGGCCAATGATAGAAACCATATGTTAAAGCAGCAGCGGAGGCAGTCGGGGATTTATTACTGCTCCTTCGGGACAGCCTCACCCTCTGACATCATGTGATGATGTTTTCCTTCATGGAGTAAGAAGATCAGATGCGTGGAGGTGCAGTTTGAAGCTGGTTGGGTCTTCTGCAACATTTGATATCAAGTTTGTATAAAACTCAAAATAAAAAATAAAAAACTTAAGACTTAAAGGTGCTCAAAGCAAAAGGTGAATTTAACTCACCTGATGGATTCTGGCTTACGCAGTCCAAAAAGATCCAAAAAGGGTCAAGATCCAGTTTTTTGCTTGTTTTATTCTCAGTTCAGACAAAACAGCTTTACAGGATTCTGCTACAGCTCTCACTCTGATTCCTGCACCTGTTCTTTCGCTGGCTGATTGGCTGACTGAAACTGGTAAAAAAAAAAAAGAAACCTATAACCACCCGCGTGCATAATGAGCTAACTAAAACCTATTTATACTGTGAAACACCCACATCACAAGCTAAAATTAATTAACTAATTAAGTGAATCACTAAACAAATCCTATTCTGAATAACAAATCAAACCAAATAATCTAAATTCTATCCCATTTTTTAACTGAAAATGGAGAAATAGGTCCTATAGACTAGCCTGGGTGCCATTCCAAACTTAGTCCCGCCCACAATGTTTGA